CTTTGACAAGGATGCATCTTTTTTTGGCCTTTTCTAACTGTCTAATAAAATAACAATACGTGTCCCTCCTATAAAAAATCATGTCATCGACCCTATTCATGTGGCAAGGTGTATGAAAATAACTTTTAACATAATTTTCAAAGAAACGAAAATCATGAACCTATAGATTGACCCAATTGATGGAAGCGACAAAATATGTGAACAAGGAATCAAAGATTTTTGGTACACGTGGAAGGATTTGGTTCCCTCTCATATCCATATAACTTGTGCTTCTCCCCTTTCTCTCGATCTCCACCGAGCCGCTGCTGCTAACTCCGGTTGAATTTTCCGGATTGTGGAGCCAGCCCTCCTTGCGGTTGGGGTGTGGAGGTGAAAACTTTCAACAGGTCTCAGGCAGGGAAGTTGGGTGCTGTTGGGGATGTGGAGGTGCAGATCTGTTGGGTGCTGTTCGTGGCTGTGGATCTGTTTTTTATTTTTTATTTTGTTTTGAGTTTGATTTATTGGATGGGTATAGTGGTTGTATGGTTGATGCTTGTCGGTGTTTGTTGTGGTGGTTTTTCAGTCGCAGGGTGGTGTTGGCGGTGGACTGGTTTCTTGGCGACGGTTTTGTTTGTGTTCCGTGTTTTGGGGTTTTACATTGATTTTGGATCTGTGATGTCATGGTTGGTGATTGTGCGGTGTTTGTGATTGTGGATCTGCGGTTTGGTGGTTGGTGGTGGAGGTGGTTTTTGGGGTTTTTTTTGTTGGCAGCGGTGGGGTGGTTTTGCGGTGGATCCGGTTCTGTTGGCGAATCTGGTGGCGATCCGCAGTAGTTACGATCTGGCCGTGAATGATTTGGGTGGTTCGGCTGGTGGCAGTGGTGGTCACAGAAATCGATGGTGGTCACAGAAGTCGATGGTGCTATTAGTTCTTGCGACAACGGTGATGATGGTCACGGGGGTGGTCACAGAAGTCACTGGTGGTCACACAAAATAATCTGTGACCACAAAATTCGGTTACAAATGTAAAATTCGGTGGTCACAATA